TTAGTTGTAATAGAAAGTGGAATATTTGAATTTCTCTTTCAAACATTACACACGTCACCTCTCAGTGATTACAGTGCCGGAAATAAGAAAAGATGGCATTTCTGAGTCATCTCTCTGGAGTTTCAATTCCCCTTTTCCTGCCTGCTCTTCTGTTCTATTGTCTAGATTCTTGACAATAGAACCTGGGCTTGTGGCGTCATCTGGCCCTGGCAGCTCTGGCCTCCCCCTCCAAGCTCTGGGCACGCTCACTGGCCATCTTTATCACCAGCTCCGCTGCCTGGAACTGAACTTGTCCCTGGGGTACAGCTTCCTTCCCTTCCACCCCTTCCCCCCATGCTTCAGCCCCTGGTCCCAGTTCTGCCTGTAAGTAACCCCTTGAAAATCCCGTTTACTTTTCGTCTACCTGGTGACAGGGTATTTGTGCACACGATGTCTCTTTACATGAAGCTCTGAGCTCCGTAAAGGAAGACCTGGGCCTGATCCATCTCCGTCTTTACCACGTCATTTAGCAAGTGCCCCACATGGGGGGCTTCTCCCTGGACAGCTGTGCACGAGTGGAGAGAGGCCCCAGCCTTCACTGTGGGCGCAGTGAAGTCAAAGGGACCTAAACGAGTGGGCAAGGACTGTCCCGGGCGCGGGGAGAGGGCTCTGTCCTCTCAGTGTCTTCCCGAGTGTTGGTCCTTTCAAGTGATCAGGAAGGCCTGGTTGACTGTCTGCCAGAACTCATCTCCGCTGCCGGGCGGGGTGAGGGCATTTTCTTTTCGTTAGTGCTAGAGACACAGAGTCAGGAGTCAGGGCGAGGGGACGTTTGATGCGGCCTTTCCACCATGGCCCCCAGCCGCTGCCTGTGCCGGACTTCCTCCGACATGGAGACTGTCTGCAAACTTGGATGATGTCATCCCAGCCTTTTATTTTCCTATGCGCAGTAAGTGTCGTAAGAATGGGGCTCCAGCTACCTCATCACCTACTTGTTCATCTTTCTGGCTATGATGCCTGGAACACGCGTGCTCCGTAAACACTGCACGACATCAGATGATTCTTATCGCTTAATGTAGAGAATCACATTACAGGTTACAAACACATCATGACACACAATTTTAAGGAAAACTATTAATCAGCTGTTTTCTAATGTTCACAGAAAAGGGTCCTAGAATTAAGATGCTTAAATTAAAAAAAAAATTAATATTAAATCATAGCAATTTTTCCAGTGTGGTCTCCAGAATTACCTGGCATATATTGCAGATGCATTTAATATAGATATGTAGTTTTTCAGATTCCTGTGCCCCTCCACCCCAGAATGATGAATATTATTTCTTGGGGTGAGCCTGAGAACCTTCATCTTACCCATGCACTGTGGGGGTTGCTAAGCTAAAGGCAAGTGTCAGGACATTGTCCGAGAGTGCCAAGGGGGGGCGCCCTCTCCAGGGAGAGTCCACGCATCCATGTGACTCGGCTGAATTATCACAAGACCCAAGGAATTTTTTTTTTTTTAAATAAATTTTATTTTTATATTCCCCATACAATTGCAACCCCCTTATTTTGACTCCCATAGTGTGTCTCTGGTTCATAGATTTTGCTGATTTTGATTTTCACTTTCTTATAGTTATTCATTTTCCTGGTCCCTTATTTAAGTTTTCTAGATTCCTGCTATGAGTGAGACCATCGGGTATTTTTCTTTTTCTTTCTGGCTTATTTCGCTGAGCATGATCCCTTCCAGCGCCACCCATGTTGCTGCAAACTGCATGTGCTTATCTTTTTTGAATGCTGAGTAATATTCCATGGTGTGTATATTCTGCCGCCGGGTTCTTTAAGCTCGGGGTAGATCTCTTTTTGTCGCAGAACCGGGAAATTGTCCAAGATGGCCTCCCCGGGTCCTCTTAGGACAGGTGATACTGTGAGAAATGCTTTCTCTATCATCCCCTCCAATTCAGCCTGCACAGGATCAGAGTCTGTCATTTCTCTGCAGGATGAAAATGGCCTGACTGGTTTGCTTGCCTTTTCAGTTGTTGTTGTTGTTCATTTGTCCTAATATTCTTGACTGCCTGCTTAGTGCAAGGCTGGGGCCAGATATTTGAGAAGAAACTTGCAACATGAACCCACTCACTTGAGGAGCTTAGCACCCAGCATCCAGTGACCCAGCAACCAGTGACGAGAAGTGAGCACATTAAAGCTAGAGAGCAGCTCAGAATAGTCGAGAAAGGCCCGGGAACTGTGTTTGCTAATAAATTAATCATGGAAGTAATCACATCTCAGGGGCTTCTGAGCAGAGAAATAGTTTCAGCAGGGCATGCATTTGAGCTCCAGTGCTAACGAAGGGGAGATTTGTAAAGGCAGAAAGGAGAAGGAAGGGTTGTCTAGGAACTGCAATAGCATGAGCACGATGTGGACATAAACCCTTTGATAGGGTGGAGGTTTAATCTTTCAGAAAGGTGGGGACAGATGAGTAAGCCAGAGACTTATTTTGTGGGTTGGAAGACAGTAGAAGCTTCCATTGCCACACCAAGAACATTTTGGACATTTTTCTATCAGGAAATTGAAGCACAGGGGTCAGCACAGTTTGAAGAAGGTAGTATTTTAATAAGGTCAGTGAAATGGTAGTTTTAGGATGAAGCGTAAAGAGAAAAGGCATGAAATAAGGGCCTCCCCTGGTGGCGCAGGCGGTTGAGCGCTGCACTGTGAAGCTGTCTGCAGCCTCTGCAGCACTGGTTCGATCCTGCCTGGCTGGCGAGGGTCCCACATGGCACAGCAGACCTCTCCTGTCTCGCCCGCTGCTCCCCTCAGCAGTGTATTTCATCAGTCTGCCTGTTCTGTTCCCCGCTCTGTCTCTGGTGAGTCCTCTCACCCTCCCGTGCATCTGGTCTGTACCCTGGTTCTTGTATAAATAAATCTTAAAAAAAAAAGAAAGAAAGAAAAGGCATGAAATAAATAGACCAGCAAGGAGGTGAGTGCAATGGACTGACCAAGCATGAGGTGTGAAGACTAACCTGGTGTAGAGTGTAGTAGAAACAGAAAGAAAGGTTAAGAGGTGGTGTAAGGAAAGAAAGGACAACAGAACCAGTGACCCAGGGTCGGCGAGAGGACTGACACTGGGCATCCTACTCCTCTTGCGTATATTCATCAGTGGTCAGCGGGGCGGGGTGAGCCTCTTGTGGACAAAGGTGTTTCCTCTGGGTCTGAGCCTGGCCGATGCCTGTCGCTATTCACTTATGTCGGCGTCAGCAATAACAGCCTCCGCATTTCCAGGCGTTTCTCTATTGCAATCTAAGGTGTGCTGTTAGCAAAGAAGTGTCCAGTTGCACTTTTTGAGGGAAAGCAGAGTCCAAAAACCAGACTATTGTAGAAGTGGGAAGTCAGGTTTCGGCACATTTGTCCTTCTGTGAAAATCCTCTGGGTCAGGTGTGAGGAAGGAACTACCAGAAACCAAAGATAGATGAGATAAGGGAGGGAGGGAGGGAGGGAGGGAGGAAGGGATGGATGGACGGACAGACGGATGACAGATCGATAGACAGACAGACAGAATTATACCTGGGAAGAAATGATCAGCATCACATGTGCCATCATTTCTGAAAAATTGCCCTTGAGTTTTATCAATAGTTTCTGTGCTGGGTTTGGTTCATAAGCCAGGGAAATGCAAGCTGTTTGCGGGGCTTGCTGACTTAACTCACGTACTCATTCAGAAAGAGAAGGGAAAGCAGAGTCTGAAGCTCTCGAGAAAAAGTGGGTCCTACTCAGACACCATCTAAAGGGCTCTCCTGCGTCTCCCACGAATGGCTCTCTGACCGGATTTGAAACTAAAGAACTGAAGTAACGATAGCACCGGAGAGCACTGGCTTGGCTTCTGCCCCCATCCCAGGGAGAGGCCAATCTATGTGACTGTGCGGAGAGTGTTGGGCCAGTGACAGGCAGGAAATGTCCCAACAGACCCTCCATCGATGGAGACGAGGCTGGAGGTGATTTCTAGACATTTGAAACAGAAGCTGGCTTCAAGGAGAACCACACGATCCTGCAGAAAGTGCTTGATAAGGCTGTATTTCTGGAAGAAAGGACAAGATGAAGCCTCAGTTCAGACAGGGGAAAAAATGGAGAGAAGCAACTTGTTCATAAACATTTCATCACAGTCAGAAAATGGGGGTAATTTCCACATCTGGGTCCGGCCTCCTGGAGCTGAGTGGGCAAGAGGAAAGAGTCTATGGAGCTGAAGGGCTCAAGAGAAGATGGAGAAATAGCACGCCCCACAGACCCCCACCATCAAAGATCCCTGTGAGGTGCGGGTGCCAACTGGGGGCCTCAGCCAGTGGCCGCCTGCTGGAGGAGAGGCAGCAGACAGCAGGAGAAGGAGAGAGAACTATCCTAAGGACCCCCTTCCTGCTGGGGGTTCCAGTTTCCACCAGCTTGTCATCAGCTCTGCCTGGGAATGCTCCCTGCCCAAGGAACAGAGGCTGATACGGGGACCTATGGCACCACAGCTGGGGCACAGAACAGCAGTGGTGCATGGATTCTTCTGGAAGCTCTAGGACCCACCACAGTAGAGGGCTGTCACGTGGAAATAGGAAGCTAAAGACAGTAATGATGAGGATGCTGACAGGCACTCAAATGCTTACAGCGTGTCAGGCACAGTTCTAAGCTCTTCACGCTTTCTGTTGCTTTAAACCCTCACGATGAACTGTTTTTTATTTTTTTTTAAAGATTTATTTATTTATGCATACAAGAGCTGGGATGTAGGCCAGAGGCGCGGGAGGGTGAGAGGATTCACCAGAGACAGATCAGGGAGCAGAACAGGCAGAAGGACTGAGTACACTGCTGAGGGGAGCAGCGGGCGAGACAGGAGAGGTCTGCTGCACCTTGTGGGCAGCTCCCTGGCTGGGGATTGAATTCGTGCTGCGGTGGCTACAGAAAGCTTCATAGGTTGCGTCCTAACCCCTTGCGCCACCAGGGAAGCCCGCACAATGAACTGTTACTATCCACAGATGAGGTGACTGAGGGCCAGAGAGGTTAAATAACTGCCTTTATTTCCATCGCCGGGGCTCCCCATCAAGGCAAGATGCCTCTGCTGACTTGTCTCCTTTTTTTTTTGCCTGAAAAGGAGACAGGAAGAGGAGAAGCACAGATTAGCTGACCCGGGCCTGAGCTGTGCCCTCTCCCCCGAGTGCTTACCCTCACTGAGGCCTGGGCAAAGCCTGCACACCGCTAAATGGAAATCTTCACTTCACTTCCAGATGCCACAAAGGGAAGAAATAAATTTGCTCAGCTTCAGATGTAGCCATCGTCCCCGTCACAAGACAGAGCCTCTCTGTAATGATGAAAAGCACTATAATTTTAACCTTGTTATTGGACTGAGCACAATTTACGCTAGTGATGAAAAAAAAAAGGAAAAGATTTATGAGATGTAAGATAGAAAGATAAACTCTTGTCCCTTAGTGGCTATTACAAACATTGCCAAAATACCATAAATGTGTGAAAGATGACATGATTATTTTTGCATTTCCACTGGGCATTTCCAATATTGTGAGAATTTACAGGGCAGAAGTCCCCAGTCCAGACAGTAGAGCTGGAGGCGGGTGGAGGAAAGACGTGCAGCCACATGCCTGGATCTCTCCCGGGAGGTCCCACTGACCCAGTCTGGGATGGACGGCGAGCAGGTGGCTTCAGGCACAGCGAGCATGCCCAGCGATGGAGCTCACCACACCTGAACATAAAAGCGTCCTTTTTATTTCCCGCCTCCAGTCACCAGCTCCTACCGCAGCTTCAGTGGCTCTACCCTGCCCTGCATTTCATCAGGATATAGCATCAGACCCAGCTCCACCTCAAAACTGGGCACGCGAGAGGGCAGCCATCAGCCAAGGAGACACCAGGAGAACCAGCTGGACACCCAGACACCATCCGCTGGGAAGACCCATCCCCGCCGGGTCCTCCTAGGCAGGCCAGTAATCAGGCAAGCGCCAGACAGAGTGATGAGAGAAAACGTAAAAAAAAAAAGTTGAACAAAAAAGCATGTTTACCTCCTGTCATGGGAGGTGACTGGCCCATGTGGCTCCGGATGCCATCTTAAGCGGCTAAGCTAAGACAGAAGGACTGTGGTGGAGGACAGAAAGAATGACAGCGAGCTGACCAGGGTGGCTGCAGTGGACAAAGGTATACAGGCTTATGTCCCGCCTTCTCCGCTGGAGAGTGGTACAGCGATCGGGCCTTCCCGGGGCACACCCTAACGGAAGCCCACTGTGAATACCTTTGTCAAAAGGGAGCCACGGGAGGATTTTTAAAGAGAAAGGGTGTGGACACCAGCAGGTTGCTTCAGGGAAACCAAACTGAGATCATCCTTGCAGCTGAGCAGTCTGGACGGGCTGTCCTGGAAGGGACAGCAGCAAGAGGCCTGGTCACAGGTAGGTAGTCACGCCTCTGGCTGAGTCAGGGCTGGGATGCAGGTCATGTAGAAGGCCTGGGGGTTCTCTAGATCCCGGCCCCAAACTCCCCTGACCCAGCAACCGACCTGAAAAGCAGGAAGTAAATTTGGGCTTTGACCTCTGGAGAGGGTTGGCTTTAGTGATAGGACAACAGCTACTGGAGAAGCCGGTGTTTCAAGATGTCCTCAGCTCTTCTTGAGGAGTCGGGTACCACATTCTCCACTCCAGGAGCAGCCGCGCTGACGGCTTGAGGTTTCACTTTCCATAACTGAGCATCACTCAGACCGGAGGGGATTTGTAATAGGACTTGCCCATGTCCTAAAGAGAGGTGCTGCCTGAGCAGGTGCTGTGAACACAGTTCTGGACAGCACTTGGGACCTTAGTGATTTGGGGTTCCCTGCACTGAAGTGGGGGCCACATGCCGATGGCCCTGCATTGGATCATGATGACTCCTGCATCAGACCAAGAGCATGCTTGAGTTGCTGTGTTCCATATTTAAATTTAGGCTGCAAATGCAAAGACAGTTTTACAACTCGAAATACACTCTCTACTACAGAGAATGGTGACTGAAGCAAAAGCAAAAATAGCTGCACCCGCCACAGTTTGAGAAAATCTAAATCTGAAGATGATCATTTTTATTTGCATGCTACCAAATAAGGACATGGGGAAGCAATGAGTCACCGGTATTCTCGCACTTACCAGATTCCAACACAGTGTGAGGGTATTCTTTAAAATGAGGTTTCGATATTCTAAAATTTACATGCAGCTTTGCCACCCCCCTCACCCCCAACGTGTCATCTAAGGTCCTCTCAGAAAAGTGGGCCAGATCGCCACTTTCCAGAACAGGGATGGCATCGCTCCCATGAATGATTTCCTTACTCTACAGACTCACAATGATGCGAACGACACCTTACATCTGAAGAGTACCTTAGCTTTTAAAGGTACTTTCACCTACATCCGCTCATTTGATCACATTTGATTCTCACAAAATCCTTGAGGCAAGGTGTTTGCAAGTGTGTGGTTGTCATATTAAAATACCACTGAGCGTGGGTCTTTTTGTAGAGACAGGATGAATCACTAGGAGTAGGAAAAAAGGGAACAAACAAAAGAAAAGTAGGAGATTCTGAGATCTAAGCTCCTTGCTAACATCTTGCCTGGCCCCGTGTAAACCCAAGCTCTTGCCGCGCTGACACCCAGCAGAGAGGTCTGGGAATGGCAACTCAAGTGTGTTTTCTTCTTCTCTGTGCTTTTAGAAGACAGTTTAAAGAGAGTTCGGGAATGTTCTGCCCTTTTGTTTTGAAACTTCCTCTGCTTGTCTGCAGACTGTGAGATGGGTCTATTTGCTTTAAACAGACTGAACAACCTTTAAAAGAAGCAGACTTCTATGACGGGCTGACTTATTTTGGATGTGCAAAGATGTTTACTGAGCTTCTCATCTAAGACTTGAAAATTCTTCCATCTCAGTTAGTGTGACACAGTTGAGGATTTAAAGGGGAGCGCCGTCTGTTGTAGCAGGTTTTGGAAGGTGGCAGGAGAAAAATGTCTCTGTTTTACAGCATGATCAGCAATCTGCCTCTCCCCAAGGATTTTTCATGAATCTTAGAAGGAAATCTGTGTTATTCAAGTTCCCAAGGGCAAACCATCTTTGCCAAGAGGCCACTGAGCACACTTCGCAAAGATGGCAGACATTTCTCCTTATGTTCCTGCCACCAGGTGAGCACTGGTCGGGGAGGGGCGGGACTGAGAGCCCCACCGCGCAGCAAAGTATTTTCTGGAGAGTTGTGGAAGCAAATTGCAATAGGTTTGATATGTCAACTTAGAGCAAGGACTGAACTAAACGATGCTGACACCCACACTGCGTGCTCTCCACAGTGCAGAGGGGAAGAGGGGCAAAGAGGATTGACCGGGTGGCCCACGCCCAGCCACTTCCATGCTGCCCCCCACCAGAGTTACCAGCATCTTCCTGCAGCGCAGTGCTGCCTTGGGGGTCCCTCCTCTCCTGCTGGGAAGGAGGCCCCGAGGGTGAGTCAGGACGCAGCCATCAGAAGCCTGGACTCAAGACACGGGCACTCTGGCGCTGCCGCCATCTCGAATTGTCTGTGTGGCTTTGGACTTTCTGCCTCTTGCATCTGTAAGGCAGGGGAAGTGGCCTAAGTGTTGTCCAGGTCTCCTCACAGCTCCAAAACATTAGCATCCTTTTGGTCAGGAAGGTGGCGGGAGGTGGTGAAGACAGGCATAATTATCCACTAGCTGTGGAAGGACTGACCTTGGAGGTGGCGGGAGTCACCCAGGAGGCATCCTGGCCATGGGCTGGGGACCCAGCGGCCGCCTGCGGGGTGCAGGGGGAGCGAGGCCTGCAGGCAACAGGAGACGGCACGTGGAGCAAAGGCCGCGTCCACCGCAGAAAGGCCAGGCCTGGCCCCAAGCAGGCCCCGCGCCTTTCTGCAGCCTCTCCCCAAGAGCACACCATTAAATGTCAGCCTCAGAAACATTTCCCTTGGCTTTGTTGTTCCAGAACGGATTTCTTTTGTCCTCAATATAATGGATATGCAGAAACAATGATAGAACAGAGATTTTTTTTAAAGCGATGACAAACACAGTGCTGCTTCCTCCCTCCCTCCTTCCTCCTTCGCCCCCCAACCCCCCACTCCCAAATAAATCATTGTTCAAAAAAAAATCCCATTGTCTATTGTCCACAGAGATCAAGATCCGCCTGGAGCGCGGGGGGAGCGCCGCGCCCGCGGCCGGTAGGTGGCGCACGCGGGCAGCGCAGGCGGGAGCGCAGCCGCCGACGGGGGGGCTCGGAGCCGGGGTCTCGCCGCCCGCACCCCGCCCGCCGCGCCTCCTCCCAGCCCCTACCCCACCCGGTGCTAATTGCCGGGGACTCTGCCGGGGCTCGGGTTGAGGGGGAAGAGCGCGGGAAGAGGGGCGAGGGCGGGCGGTGGGGAAGCCGGCTCCGCAGACACAAAGCCTGGGGACCGCGGCTCCCCGAGCCCCCGCTGCGCCCCCACCGCGCCTGAGCCCCAGCGCCCCCTCCCCTGGGCGCTCGGCTCCGAGGCCCGGGAGCCGCGATGGGGGGCCCCGCGCGCCCGCCACCCCCAGGCCCACCCTGCGACTCGGGGTGCCGGGGTGCCGGGGTGCGGTGGCCTGCGGAGGAGACCCGCCCCACTGGCCGCGGGCCGGGCCTCCCAGCAGCAGGGGCTGCCTGGTGGGTGCCCGCGGGGAGCCCGGGCGCCCGGTTGCCAGCAGTGCTGTCTCCCAGAAGGAGCCAGGGGACCCTGCCCCCCCCTTCCCCCCCCCCCCCCTGTGTGGCAGATGCACTGGGACGGCCTTCAGAGTGGTGGATCCCCCAATCTCCATGCTTCAGAGCGGTGGATCCCCCAAACTCCATGCTTCAGAGTGGTGGAGCCCCCAATCTCCATGCTTCAGAGCGGTGGATCCCCCAAACTCCATGCTTCAGAGTGGTGGATCCCCCAATCTCCATGCTTCAGAGCGGTGGATCCCCCAAACTCCATGCTTCAGAGTGGTGGATCCCCCAATCTCCATGCGAGGGGGGAGCTGGTGTTAAGAGATGGCTCTGAAGTCAGAAGCCAGGCCTGAAAGGTGAGCCTTGGCAGCTGGAGCTTGCTGACCTCCAGGAGTGCCCAGCACCCCCACCTTCCAAGTCCCGGCTCTGAAATGTGGCTGCAAGACTCTCACCTGGTAGAGAGACTGGAAGGGTCCGTTGAAAGTGGTGCTTAACTTAGCAGGAGGCCCCCGCAGAGTAGCTGCTATTACTGACTCTCCGACTCTCCTGGAGGGTGGTGCAGTTTGCTGCCCTTGGGAGAAACGCCCAAGCAGCCGCCTAGGCTGAGGAGCGAGGCTTCCACTGGGGAACATCCTCAGCGCGGTGGCTCCTCACAGAAGGAGCCATCAGTCCCTCTGCTGTCCACAGCCCCACATCTGCCTCCAGTCCCCCAGGCTGGGCTGTGGCTGTGTTGGGCCCTGCACCTCCCCTGCCCCTCCCTGCATTCTCACCGTGTCACAGACCCACCCCCAAACCTGGATGGAGGCTTCTGAGAGAGTTGGCACATGGACTTTGGGGTCAAACTACCCAGTTTGGAGTCCGGCTCCCCCATTTGCTAGCTGGAAAGATGGACAAGTCCCCACCCACCCCCCACCCCCGCCCTTGGCTTTGCTGCCTGCCCTGTGAGAGGGGCGTGATAGCTAACCCCATAGACTTCCGCAAAGACTATGGAAGATGTAAACTGTCTGGCATGCACGATCTCTTCAGCAAATTTAAAATTTACAGTTGAAATTAGGTCAGATCATCTTGTTGAGGATAGTGGGATTTCGCTGGAATTTCCGCAGACATCCAGCAAAGGTGAACCCGCAGTGCCTCGCGGTTAGCTTCCTTGTTCCTGCCCATCTGAGTCCATAGGGTTTATTTCCCCTCTGGGAAAAGAGCAGAAATCCGGTGAGGGGATCTTGTGCCCAGGGCCTCACAGAAGTAATTCACACCTAAACAGGCTTATTGACTCTGTGGGGCTACAACATACCAGTTGTAGACCCCTATTCCAGCTGGAAGGGTGTCTGGGGGTGGACCTGACTTTAGAGCTGCATTCTCAGCCATGGCACGTGCCTGATTGCTTGGCTCCATGACGCCTTGTTAGCACTTACCCATGTTCACTGCCACCCACCAGCAGTGCGTGACTGAGCGTGCAGGAGGCCAGGAACAGTTGACACTTCTTTAAAGGACATGGGCATTTCCATGAATATCAGCTTTGTGTAGCTCTTGGGAGAAACTCAGACTTTGGGAAGACCAATTCCCACGGGTAGCAGTAGGGCCTAGAGGCAGCTCTGGTAGCTCCAAGATGGCCCCATGGGCCCTGGCCTCCTGACAGCCATGTCCTAGTGTAGTCCTCTCCCTCCTGAGCAGGGCCAGCTGGTGTACCAAATGAATATTATGAGAGAACAGTGTGTGACTTCCAAGCAAGCACATATAACACAGGTGGCTTCCACTTCGTTCTCCTATGTTTCTTTATTGTGGGGAAAGCTGGCCACCGTGTCAGCTCTAAGGAATGGTCTATGCCTCCTGCCCTCAGCCAGCATCAACCTGCCCGCCAGGTGAGGGAGCCATCTTGGGTGAGGCAGATCCTCTAAGCCTGATCAAGTCTTGGTCTCATGAGAGACCTTGAACAGAAACAGTGCAGTTAAGCCATCCCCAGATTCCTGACTCACAGAACAACTGTGAGACGTAAAAAAAAAGAAAAGAAAAAAAAAAAGACCTATGTGTCAGGGAGCCTACTGTTAATAGGCCCATAGACCAGATGGGAAGAGATAGGTCACCATGCCCTGGAGGGTGCAGAGCCAATCTTCTCCAGACATCAGGTTGAAAGCTAAAGTGGTCAGGTCACTGGTTTCCAGAAGCTTTCCTGGCTATTTCCATTAGTTGTCTGCAGATAGACATGTGTGGCTGAGTCCAGGTACCTGAAGATGCCAAATGCATCCTGGTGCACCATTTTTCTCTAGAAGGGGGTCTCACACGTTTTCACTGCTAGTCATAGTTAAGAACCCTGTGTCTCACTCAAGCAGAGGGAATAATGTTGAACTAACCACATGCTCTTTGAAATCCTGGTCTCTGACGAAATATCTTGCAATGTGGTTAACTCAGTTTCCAGATATGTAAACAAAGCCAAAATATGACTGGACCCCCGTTCCATTCAGCTAGTAGTCTGCAAGTGGCTGTTTTGTGTAGACTCTCAGAGCCCCTGAATCTAGGGCCATAACTTGTCAAAAAAACTTCAACCTCTTAAAAACTCTCCTGATCCCCTAAAATCCACTTCTTATTTTTTATGTGATTCTAAGTTTCAGCATTTTTTTTTCAGAAAGTTTTATTTTTGCTATATTTTTAGATTCAAAAGTATTTGTTTAAGGTGAACAAATGATACAGCATACCCAACCGCTGGAACTGCTTTTTAATTGAGAACAAAAGGGGAATACCTAGGACAAGCATACGCAGTTGCCACGTTTATTGTTTCAGCGAATTTTTGTCAGGTTTGTTTATCTGGGTGTTAATGTGATGATACAGCAATCCTTGGAGAAAGAATAACAAGTACGTTAAAGAACAAATTCTAGATAAAAATGGAAAACAGCCACAACCCACAAGGTCTTCTTTGGGAAGAACTCTTGAAGAAAAACCGACTCACGCTTCACGGAAGAATATGGCGCTGTCATTTTCCCTTTATAGTGCCGGAGTGTTCCTGAACAAAGGCCTCAAGGCATTATCACATCGTCATCTATTTTTTGATGTGATTTCTATTTTCAGGGCCTGGCTTCGCTCCCTCTTTTTTCCTGTTGCAGCTGGTCATTGGTGCCATCTTCGTGGGCCCTATCATGCTCAGTGTGACCAGCCCCACCTGGAGAGTTCACTGTGGTGACCACAGGTCAGCCCCGCCAGGTTCTTGTCCACCCACAGGGCCAGAGGAAGACCTCAAGGATCCACCCCTCCTGCCACACAAGCTAGGGTGGTGTAGTTGGAGGTAATTGGTTTATTCCTAACGGTCAGGAGATGAACTATAGACTACAGGTATTTATCCAAGTCCTGCACATTATTTGAAAAACAAACATAATCAAGTACTTTTTTTTCTCCTTTGCTGGACTTTCTGCTGGTACAACCACACAAGTCCCAACATGTAACATAATCAAAGCAAGCTATATGGTGCTTTGAGATTTATAGAACTCAACTGCCAAGATTGCAGAGTGTGGAAAAGAAGATGGGGTAGATCATCTGTAAACAGCCTTCCAGCTCAAACATTCTGCAATTTAGAGTCTACAAATGACTTTCATCTGATTTTAATATTCACCCATTCAGTCAGACTTCCAACCATAGTTTAAATACCTATTACATGCTAAGCACCGATACACATTCATGAGCCAAACAGACATGGAGTCCTCCATTCAGTCTACAGACGACCCATCCACAAAACAGGGTAACCATACTCACCAAGTCTGCATTCCTGGGGATGGAGGTGCATTTAAATGGATTCAGAGATAGAGAATAACATGGCGTACCTACCTGACCTAAGAGGAAAACATTTAAGTCAACATCCGAACAATGGAAAAAGGTCAACTCAAGCCATGTTCCACTGCGGGAAAAGACCCTGAGAGGAAAAAGGCATGATGTGTGTGAAGAGGAGAACATTATGGGTCCAGATCTTCACAGACCAAAGAACATGCCAGATCATAACCTGCCAGTGTTCGCTTGGGCGATTTATTCTGGCTCCCTGACCAGTTCTTAAATCCCCTTCACAATGCTCCTCTGAACAGCAGTCACCTTGTGCTTGAGTCTTTTCACAAAGGAGAATGCACTGCCTCTTGAGGTGTCCATGCCAGTTTAGATTAAAAATATGAGTATGTCCCAACCAGGAAGCTGGAAGTGGAATCACAAATTGTAGTCACGGGCCTGCATTTGAGGAAAATTTCAAGTTAAAGTGGAAGAAGCTACTTAGAGAGCTGTATTTACCATTCTTCATTATGTGGAATGCCAAGGACATGCAGCAGGGTTTCAAGTTCATTCTCCTTTTCTGGAGGAAAAAATAGGAGAATGATAAGACAGTTCTCACAAACTTTCCACGGTTTTCTATTGTAGCAAAATTCAGGTCAGAATCCTGGCAAGCCAGTGATTGCACAATAAGGTCATCTGTCCCCTTGGAAGGCAGCTGTCTTTGGGCTGCAGTGGTGAGGTGGGAGTGACTTTGCTGTGGTATTTGTGGCTCATCATGTAGAGGAAGCATTGCTGTATCCACCAGTTTTACGAAAGTCTTTGAGAATGTGAGCTGACTGACACACAGCCTGTTGTTGACCTGACTTTAGAAGCTCAGTGGGAGCCCATGAAGATTGGGCCAGTTATTAGCTGGTGTTCACCACAGCAGGTCCCCACTGCCAGCAGTCTCAGACTAGCTCAAGTATTTATTTGTGCCAAAGGACATCAAGAAACCCAAGTTGCTAGATCTTAGAGGTACTTCCAACCTCCCAACGTTGCCACAGGTGCTTCTCCCTTTTAAAGCCCTTTATGAAATGTGACATGGTGACTGCTGAGCCATCCTGCTTGAAACAGTCTCTGAAGGATTTTGCAGAAGGGAAATAGCAGTAAGGGAGTGAAAAGTCAAGAGGTTGACCAGTAGTGAATGTTAACCCATGCGATGGGACTTCTATGGTAGCCAGAAGAATTTCACCACTGAAATGTAAGGAAAAACCTCCACAAACCTTTGTTTTTCAGACAGCAGTCACGCTGTAAGAATATTAAGGCAATAACAAATAAGCTCCGCCCCCCCCCCCCAATAATCAAGAGATCCTGATGAGGCTGGCAGGTGGAGCATGGTGCCCAGGTTGCACCTGGTTCTAGGCCAGACTAATTAAAAATCCACAGACCAGGCCCACAGGTATCAAGCCAGGTTCCTGTGCCAATTCATGAGGATGGCCTGCTAGACCTGTGTCCCATCACAGAACTGGACAGAGTCCCCAGCCTCCCCTGTCGGGTGGGGTTGGGTGATTCAGTCCAGCCACCAGACCAGTTCAGAAATCCCCTTCCCAAAACTCCTCTGAACAGCTGTCACCTTGTGTTTGAGCCTCTTCACAAGGGAGAACGTGCTGCCTCTTGAAGTATCCAGGCCAGTTTAGATTAGAATTACAAATGTGTCCCAGGAAGCTGGAACTGGAATCACAAATGTGTGGATTCATACAAACGTCCCTTCAGACTTGCACCAGGACAGAAGGGACGTCCTCCGGGCTGACCAAGTGTCAAGAAGGAATGTCAACAGGATACTCTTAAAGTATCGCCCTGTGGTGAGCTGAGGTGGGACAGCGCAAGGAGTGGGCCAAA